GTCAACTGCCTGCTGAAAAAAATCTTGCTAGAAGTAGTCTGCAGGAGGTGGGGTAAACTGCTTCTTTCCCCATGGAGCTCAGGTCCTTCCTTTCTAATGTCACCTCTGTGGTTTCCTTGTGGTAGTAGTAGGGCCTGAAAGAAAAAAAAACTTGCAGGATTTAAAATGATCCTCTAAGATCTCTCTTCTCATAACAAGGTGCGTATATTCTGGATAAGCTAAATTGTGCCGTTTTAATATTAGGGAAGCTTGTTTAAACTGCTTGCTTTGTATGACCTAGTAAATGGCTATTCCTTTCCACTTTGGGCGGATGCCAGAGTAGTTGCACAAAACTTTCCATTCAGCTTTGTCTGCTGGATTTGGAAGCCTGACATCGAAGAGTGAAGTGTCTGTGATGATTGCATTTGCAGGTGCTAAAGTAAACTTAGTCTGGTCTGGAGGATGAGAGAGAATGCAGACAATTTAGGAAGAAATAACATGGTTTGCTTTTAAAATGTCATATTTGACACTACAATGCACTTAAGCTGTAACAGCTTTCTGCTGTTAAAAAACAAAAGGAGGGTTAGCAGTGACCTTGTCCTAAGCCCTTTCAGACCAAAGTTTATGCGTTCATCTGTTTTGGTTCTCTATAAATCAGGGCACAGGTCTAGTATGAACCCATCTTTCCTCATGCTTTTCTTGAAATCTGAGAAGGATTAATTAGGATAAAACTGAGGTGATAGAGAGTACGAGACAGCTTATCCTTGGTAGTGCAGCCAAGAATAGCAGTAAAAGTAGTGACACAGGCATCCAGGGACCTGAGATATCTATTCTTAGCATTATACTGCCGCAGTTTTAGAGATGCTCATTGGTCTGCTACAGTGGAGATGGTTAAGTCTCACTAGCTCTAGCAAATACAATGGGAATGGTTAAGAAATTACTGAGTCAGGAGGGATGTGGACCAGAACACATGGTTACCTCAACGACCTAAGTGTAAAATTGTACATCCAGTTCCATATTCTTCTGACTTTGCCAGGGAACAATAGCATCTTTAAGCATCTCTAGTCATGTGTGTGCCTCCAGCCTCACAATTACACCTTAGTTTTCATTGAAGGCCCAGGATCATAAAAACCTTTCTTTTCCTTAGAACTTGCTGATGTAAAATACGAAAATCTCGAGAAACGCTGAGTAGTCAATAAACCACGCTGCTTTTAAGGGAAATTGGTAAAATCAGTCTCTGCACTTGTAGCTGAAAATGATTACTGTGCAAGGCACTCAATATACCTAGATACAAGATGGTGACTAGTAAACTGGTTTAGCATGCATCTTCTCATTTCCCAGCTGAGCTGTTTGAGCATTATCAGTAACAAAGGGAATGTGAACTTCCTTGGTTAGTTGAAGATTTTTATTCAGCAGAGGAACTGGATAACACATTGCAGTTTAGCTCAGACTGATAATGTTTTCAAAAAACACAAAGCAAAAGAACTAGTCAAGATGCCTATGGTGAACTTGACTGATGCTTTTGAACTACTTGCTCTTGCAGCTGTGGATGGAAAAGCACCACTTGCTACCGGTGAAGATGACGACGATGAAGTTCCAGGTAAGAACAAGCATGCAGTGGAGGAAAAGGAAGTGAATTTTGCTGAGAGATAACATGTGTAGCATAAGATTAGGCCAAGGATGGTAAGAGTTTTAACTCACTGTCACAGAATTTCTGTGGGCAGGTTATTTCGTTATTTTTGGACACCATGAGAGGCTTAGATGGACTGTTGGTTTGAGTTAGCATTTTTGTCCTGTGTAGAAGTAATAGCTATGGCTAAGATAGTTATTTAATATTCAGTAAGAAGGGTGGGAAGAAACTACTTTCTCACTTTGTCCAGTTGTGGGTATAGTGAAGTTAAATGCTCTTAGAATTGTGCTTTATAATGAACCATCTAAAACTTACTTGGTTGAGCAAGAAGAATTAACCATGAAGCTCTTATTTGGTCTGTATTTTATAAGCTGAAAGTTTTTTATGTTATAAGCACTTGATAAGAACTTTGGAAAAAAAAAAAATCAAAAAACCCAAAAAAACCAAACAAAAACCAAAACGTTTGGCAAAGCGAAAGTGGGTCAAACTTTAATTTCAACATTCTTCTTTTTCTAGATCTTGTTGAAAACTTCGATGAAGCTTCAAAGAATGAGGCAAACTGAACTAAGTGTCACTTTCTGAATAAAGTTAAAACTTGAAAAAGCTACATGGAGCTGCTATTTTATATTGTGACTGCTTTGATTTTATTTTTATTTCCTGATGAGATCTCAAGATCTGTGATATTTGGAAACTCCTTGAACCTGCAGCTCTTTAGTTACTGCTTGTACACAATATTATTTTTGTGGCCTGATTGAACAAACCTATGCTTTGAAATAAGTCAGATTGCTAATGAATCTCTGCCTAGACACAATTTTTGAGTAACTTGTATACAAGCAAAACCTCATCTTTGATGAACTTTGGCATACAATAAAAACATAAAATAAACTTTTTGGTGTGGCTTCTTGTCAGAAAAGCAGGGAAGAAAAAATGGCCATAAATATTAAACAATCATAAAAGGTCTTGCTTTTCTGCAGAGCATCTTCCTTTTGCTATGGTAGAAAACTGGCTTCTAAAAATTTTTTTCTGTGCATAATGGAGCATTTTAGACTTAATTAGTGAATTCCCAGTGTTTGCAGGTCAGAGCTACATAGGCTCTAAGTCACTTTGTAATCTGAACTTAAGAAATAGATCTGTGTTCTAGAAATAATTATTGGTGGTTTAATACAACATAAAATGTGCAGCTTGAGAGAGAACTTTGCTTGGCCTTGAAAAACAGTTGCAAGCTGTTGGCATCTTGAGGGAAATAGATACTAACGTTAAATTTTTATCTTCAGGGAGTGTTTAGTAGATATTTCCAGGGTGTACCTATTTAATGAGTCAAATAATACTTTCCCAGTATTTTGATTTTTACTTACCTGAAAATGTCAATTATGTGGGGGAATGAAGTATAGGAAGGGGAAAAATCCTTAATAGACTTGCTAATGGCTTTTAATGAAGTCTGTATTTAGCATCTTCAGCTCTATTAACTAATAATTATATTTGAATGTTTCAGGAATATGTTCTTTCTATTGCTTTTGTGTGTTCCAGAGAAAAAGTGAACTTGTTTTTTGGGCACAAGGAAGACTTTTCAAATTCTGGTCTGACCTTTGCATAGCTGGAGCTTCCAGGGGTGGGGGCTAAACTTCATGTTTGGGAGTCTTTGGTGTTAATGATAGATCAGATTGCTTCCATAACAGAAGCTAGGCTAGGATAGAAGAGCACTCAACTACCAGCCTTCTAAGGTTGTATCTAGAGCAAATACTTCTGGAAGTGGAAATTCATCCTGACTTGTGCAGGATAAAATTCAGGGTAAAACTTTGCTACAGCCATAACATAAAGTTCTCCTTGTGCCTGGGAAAAGGTGGGGCTGCGTCTGACTTGCCAAGCATGTTTGTCATGGTGTAACTCACTGCTGTTGGGAAACACCGGAGGAACTTGTTCAAGCTGCGCAGCTCCTGTGGTTTGAGGTAAGGCAGCAGCCTGATGTGAGCATGACATGGCTGAAGTCAGGTGCAAGAACTCATAGTAACAGTTTCAGTTTACTTGTCTCAGTTTGCAAGTACTTTATTAGTAAATTACACTTTTAGCATTGAATTAATTCAAATAAAAAAGCGCTTTCACTGAATTGCAGCAATAAAGTAGAAAAACTAAACTATGCAAACTTGGGTTTTGAAATGAGGGTGGTGACTTTAAGCTAATTGTCCTGTAAAAGGTGAAAACCAAATTCTACACAGTTGTTTACCATGCTTCCTGTGACTTGTCAAGTCAATAAATGCATGCTGATTTTTTTGAGAAATCAATAAATGTGTTGCCCGTTCTGTGATTCAAATATCTAAGTCCTCAGAAATACTTCCTTTAAGCCACAGTAGCCCTTGCTTGTGAAATGTTTCCTGCTGGTTTCTGTCTCATGAAGTGACTTAGTGTCTTGCTTAGATGATCTAGGCAGTGTTAGCCTTTTCCCCATGAACAGACTTACCCAGCGCTTAAAAAATAAGATCCTTGCTAAAACAGTATCTTTGAAATGCAAAATAATGCTAATCCTGCTTATCAGCAGCCATGTGACGTGTCTGTGGAAGTCTACTTGCTAGGTGTGCTCCCAATCAGGAAATACTGGCATATCTCTGCATCCCCAGACTGTGACTGAGGACCAAGATACGATCAAAATGTGTTCTTAATTACAGCAGATTCTAAATGGAAGTAGTTCTCTTGTTGGAATTTTATAGTAGTCTTCATGTCTAACACTTAAATGCTCAATCCTGGACTCAACGCTGTGATTATTTTCCCTTAGTAGTGAGCTTGGTTATGGTCTTCCTAGTCTGTCATTAACTGCTAGAAACTGAAAATACTTCTGTCGATGTTTCTCATTAGCTTGAACTTCTATGTTACCATACTGTAATTATGCCATTACGGATTCACATCTGTGGTCTTGCTTAAGGAAAATGGCTTCGTATCTCCATTCCAAATATCTTGGACAATGGAGAAACGAAACCAGATGCCTGCATTTCTATTGAAACAAAGGTTTGTTTGAGCTTTTTATTTTTAAAAAGCTAAGGGAATGTTCTGGTTCTGTCACATCAAGCTTTGTAACAGCTTGACTCCAATAAAGTAGTGGGTACTAGTGAGATTTTTTTTCAGTGTTTTTGCAACAGATTTTTAGAAATATCTTCATAATTGTTGATCTCATGCTTTAAGGGCTTGCTCTGGTTTAAAACTAGTATATTCTAATAAAAAAATTAAAATCCTTTTGGAAGATGGTGAAACTATATTTTATTAAGCTCATGTGTGTGCATATATAAAAATAAAAAAAAGCTCCCTATGGTTGTAAAAGAACATTGTTTTTAAAGCTCTAGAAGGCGTCTTAAGTTTATTACAGACTGGATTTTTTTTTTTAAAGTGTTGTGAGTTTGAGGTTGTGTCTCTTAGGAAATGTTCCCAGTGAGAATTTCTCATAATTAGTAGTGCCTATTTAACATACGTCCCCAAGGAAGATCACTTACTTGAGTTTGTTTAAAATGTTCACAGCTTAGTACCTCAGATACCAAATCAATATTCATGTATCTTATTTCGTTGATTTGCTGGGGGTATGAGGGAAGCTCATGTAGTTCCAACTTATTTCTGTGAAGTTTTATGCTAATGATGTGTTTTGTGTGTGGAAAATCATATAGACATTTCACCTTCCCTAACCTGCTGGAAATTTAAATGTCAGATTATGGTTCAGATAAAGTAACAAAAGACATTTCAGATTAAGAGAATAGCTTGTATTTGTTGTCAGAGGCAGTGGAAGACTTGAACCAAGATGTGACCCAGACAGTGGCTAAAAAAGAAGCTCGTGTGCGTGAGTGTTACAGGTGGTGGGAGGTGAGTGGGGGAGGCTAGCGTTTTTTTCAGGGGAGGTGGGGGGAATGCTTGAGAAGCCAGAACATGGAAGCTGGTTGATCATCCTGTTTGTGAGAATGGATTCGAACAAGTTATGAAGCTAGAGATTTAATATTCAGCACAGAAAGGAAGGCCTACAGGGAAGTGTGTGTTGATTACTAGATTACAGCTTGAAGTGACTGGCAAGATGGTGGTATATGTAAAGAAGAGAGACTTTAGGTATTTTAAAATATTAAGAAGTACTCAACATGTCTTGGGTTTACATAAATAATGTGCAATGTGGCTCCTGATTTTTATAAGCTATTCTTTGTTCCTTTTCAGATCTATAGTTTCAGCCACATCTAGCAATCTGTGAGAGCTGCTGAAAATGTTTTCCATTGGATGTGGTAGTTGAAAGATCCTGACCTATAACAGAGATCAGACACTGGGAGGAAGTCTTTTTTACAGAAAAGGAGCTGACAATGCAGCTGAGCCAACCTTCTGTAGCTAAGGGGAACAACAGTCTGTAGCATGAGGGAGTATCATGATTAGTTTGACTGTGAGTCAAACTCAATATCTTTAAAGATGGATAAAAAGTGGATGCATCAAGAAGCTCTGAGAACCAGGAGTATAACTATTTCTGTGTATTCTAATCCACTTCAAGCTGGGGTTTCCTGGTAGCATAAGCTACTTGCAGTCTCATAATGAAAGTCTTTCATTGCTCTGTTAATATTCTGCCTTCACTTCATGCATGGATTATTGTTAGAGAATAACGTTACTGAATAGAAGGAAGACAGCTTATGTAATACTGTTACTGTACTGTCTTGCTATAATCTGAGTTTTTTTGTGAGAAATAGATTTAACAGATGCAGCTTGTGTATTGCCTTTATATTGCAGTGAAGGTATCCTGGCAATGAAAAAGCCATTGTAACAACATTTGTGTAGTGCTGGGATTAATAATACTTTTACGGATGAGTTACAGCCCAACCTTTTCCATTACTAATGAATCTGAACAAATCATAGGTTAATTAATGTTGTAATGGTATAAGCACTAACCATTATTTTTATAGTGTATGTCTATTATTTCTTATGTAGGTGGAAGGCAGAATTCTAGGCCATCTTACTGCTATTGAGATCCTGGGCTGGTTGAAGGTCAGTTTGATCATGCAACACAGTGCTTTTGCTTTTGATATCCAATAACCAACATTTGCAACACTTTTCTCACACAGTCAGGGATTTGGTGTGCTATGCAGGATATTGGCAGGTAATGGTGGAAGTATCTGCTGCACTTGAAATCCCTATTCTACATTTCTGTTGTGTAGTGGTTTTTGGTTTGGTGTTTTTTTTTTGGGGGGTACTGGAAAAATGTAGATGTGGGTTGTGCCCTACTCTCCCAGTTTTTAGAAGACACCTGGAGTTGAGTTAAACAGCTCTTATTTTCTTTGGTTGGAGACTTTTACAGTTGTTTATGGAGCTGCAACTGAGTTAATAATGTCTAGTGGGCTTGTGCTGGAATCTCAGAAATTTCAGCCTTGTATACCTGAGCAGTCTCCTGCTTCACAACCACCTTATAACTTGGGACATATGTTTGCATGTCCTTATTATTGCTGGGTTTAAAATGTTGCAATAAGATTAAGCAAAATTTGAAGGTGTTGGAAGTATCTATTGAAACAGGAGGAACTCTGGGTTTAAGCCACAGTTCCAGGAACTGCGACCAGTCCTGCTGTACTTCCCTGTTATTTCCAGCAACCGCATCAGCCAATGGCAGAGGTGAGTGAGTATGGCTTGAGGGTCAGATCTTCTCTCATCAGTAGCATTTTGTGGGCTGCTGTTTTGCAATGAGTTCCTAATAAATAGGCACAAGTAAGACTGCCACCTTTAAGGACCCAGCCGAGATCCAGGAGGGCTTCTTGCACTTTTGTGACTGTGCAGAACAAAGATAATGTAAAGATGGTTGTGTGGGCCACAATCTATGCTAGATCTGTGACATTAGTATTTGACATTATCTGTGGCATTACACACCAGTTGAGTGTAACTGGCAGTCAC